ATGAAAGGCTGTAGGAAATAAACATTTACCTAATGAAGGAAAGATGAAACAGCACAATTAAGCAGAAGGCTGAACAGCTAAAACCTTAGTGATGATGTGAATATTCATGAAGATGAGGACCTGGGGCAGCAGGGTCAGACAGCAGGGAGTGGGAGCTCAGGTTGGTTCACTCCTACTCAAATCCTTGGGAACTGAAGATCCAGGATGTGGGGATTCACAGGAGCAGCTGTCAGAGCCCAGTGCTGGGATGGAGCACGAGCCCAGCCATGCAATCCCAGGTATGGGGAGGGAATGTGAGCAGGCTGTTACCCCTCTGTGCTGTCCCCATTTCACTTCCCCACTGTGGAAATTATCCTCCCTCAGGGACCAGCCACAGTCCTGACCTTGCTAAGAGGTCACAGAGCTGTCTCATTTCGGTGAGTTACAGCAAAGTTCAGTAGAGAGATCTTAGCAAAATATAAAATGAGACGATGACATTTTTCTCTAGACATCCCTTTAGAACCTGAATGTATTTTTCAGCAAGTGCTGGAATGTAAACGGAGTAAAAATGAACCATAAATAGAATTGCACTTTCCTAACAACGTATTGAACAAAAAATGTCTTAATTCAGACCCTCTTTATTGAATATAAACTCTCTGTTCCGTGGAGTCACTTGTTAGGAATGTGAAAAGTTAATTTTCTTTTCTAAAAATAAAAAGTTGTGGGGTTTTAACAAAGTTATTAAGTTACATTCTTTCCAGTCATCATTATAAATAGTAAAGAAAAACTTACTAGGAAAGACATAAAATCTTCTGATGATTACTTTGAAAACTCTACTTTTAAAAAAAGAGGGTGTTCTGGAGGCCAAATGTGTGAGAACATGTGCTGTGTGCCAGGGCAAAGAAGCAGCTTCAGCCTCACCTCCAGCTGGGTGAGGATTTCTGGGATCAGTGGGACAGCACAGCACCTGGAGCAGCCTCAGCACAGCTCTGATCTTCTCTGGCTGCAATTGTCCAAGAGCAAGAGATCCTAAAGTGCTCCAGCTCCATTCCTGTGGAGGCAGCAGGACCAGCTGGCCCCAGGCCCAAGTGCTCCAGTCAAAATCCTGCAGTACTTGGGAGAAAGGGAAGGAATAAGGGAACACAGAGTTTTGGGTCCACACAGCTGCTCTCACACTCCAGGAAACCTTCAGGCTCTGGCATCATGAAGGGGGACATTTCTTTCTGGAAATTAGGATTTCTGTACTCAGAGGTCATCTACCCTGAGCACTTTGGAAAGCTCTTTAAATGAGCTGGGTTATTTGGAATTCCATCAGCTGATTCTCACACCAGAAAAATGTAATAATTGATTTTTATTACATTTTGATTTAAAAATGTAGAATTGATTTTTTTTTATCAAGTGGCTCAGTGCACAGTTTTTTTTCTATTGTCACATTTCAGAAAAGCTAAAGATAAGTCCCTGTGCTGTCTGTGGACAGTGCTGTTGTGGTTTGCATATTTTACTGCCAGGGGTCATGTGTCAGCTTTGGGTATGGCAGAGTGATGTGAGGCCACCTGGTACAGGCAGAGGTGGCCAGCCTGGGATTTCCATGCTGAAAGTCAGCATTAACACTTCTCAGCCTGTACCTGGGCCCCGAAATGTGAGGGCTGTTTTCTGGGAGAGGAACGTGCAGCACTGCCACTGCACTCAGTGGCCTTGTCAGGCCTGGGCTGAAATGTCATTCCTCCTCATCCCTGGACTTTCCCACTCATTCCAACCCTGCATTCACAGCAGTTGAGGGCTGTGGGTCTGTAAATTCTGACACTTGTACGAGTGAGGCTGTGAACGGCACCAGGATAAATTAATTACAAAAAGGATCAGGATCTCATTTGCATGGCCTCACTGTTGCCCTCAAGCTGGAAGGGAGCAGTGATCGTGCCTGCTTCAAAAATGTAAGAGACCTCAGCCAGGATCACATTTCCCAGCTGCACAGCTGAGACAAGAGATCTGATCCTTCATATCAAGGATTCATTTTGTCCAATGACAAAAAGGTTTCTTAGTGTTTCCTCTTCTGTGTCATTTATGAACCTCCCAACACTTCCATCATTTTCCATGTTTGTATCATTGTTCTGTCCTGTTACATAGAACCAAATCATGATAAAATCATTTTATGTTTCCTTTAGAGAACAGTATACACGAATAATCCTTGAACAAGAAAACCTTGGGAAGGTAAGAATGAGGCATTTACCTTGTACAACCATTGTATAGTTTGTATTTTTGTGGGGCTGTGGTCAGTCTTTTATAAAAAGCACTGTTCAGCCTACAAAGAAAATTCCATCACTGCTGGCATTGGTAATTAATACCCTGGAAAAGGATCCTGCTCCCTCCTCAGGGCTTGGTTTCCTGCAGGGAATAGCATGAGCTGCTGTAAGGGATAGGCAAACAGCTCAATGTGACAGCACATTCCCTGAAAACCATTTGGATAAGACCCTGAAACAGGGGCATAAGGAACTGTGCCAGCTCAGATTTTCTGTTGTATATAAAGCAACCTGTTGAAGACAATAAATTCTGAGCCTGTCACCCTTATCACTGCTGCTAAAGGCCAGGGGATCAGTGGTGTCAGACAAAAGCAGTTGTCCAGTTTTAATCTTGTCTGAAGCTCAGATCAGCAGGGACGAGGCTGGGCTTAGCAAGTCACACCAAACAGCTTTTATTACTTTCCTTTTCTTAGTCTGTCTGAGTGATTTTTACAGGTCTGGGCTGCCTCCCTTAATAATCAGGAGGGGGTTTAATTGTAAAACATTGATTTTGTGTTAGAGTATCATGCTATGAATCCATTGCAGGTTGTACCTTGATACTGCAAGAGCTCTGCATGGAAATGATGTCAGATTTTTAGCATAAGTTCTCAAATAGATAAGACTAGACAGTTAAAAACCATGGAAATAGTTGTCAATCCATACAAAGATCTAAGTCCCAGGTGTTAATGCCTTTAGCACTTGCAGGGAGTGTTATCAGCATGAACAAAACAATATTTCCATAGCATATAAAAATCTCTGTCATTCCAAGCTGCTTATGTGAGCAACTTTTGTGGTGTAGAGCTGTTGGAGAAATCTGATATTTCTGTATTTTTAACAGAAACTACGAGAGAAACAGAAAGTTGTACGGGAAAGTCACGGGCCGAATATGAAGCAAATGAAAATGTGGCAGGACTTTGAGAAATTAATGGAATGTAAGAGAGAATGTTTTCTGAAACAACAAAATCAAGCAGCCATTGGTCAGATCATTCAGGAAGGAGGTAAAGATAGGCTTGTGTTATGAATTCTTCCTCCTGATACCCACATGGAGTAGGAGAACTCTGGTTAAATACTGTTGCTTTCATCAATGCTACAATTTTTGTACATGGTTTGGTTTTGGTGCATAAACAGAGAGAGCAAAGAACCCCTCTGGAATCTTTTGCTCCAGTGTCTCAGTGCCAATGTGCCATGGTTGGAAGCTGTTGGGAGGGCTGCACTGGGGTGAACCTGCTCATAAATCCGTGTTTTATGAGGCCAGGAATGGCACAAATCTGTAGGGAGTTCAAAGGGAACCAAATCCTTCTGCAGGGTCACAGCAAACTCACGAAATTGCTCTGCCTCCCATTCTCTATCGATAAGGTTACATTTTTGCAAGGCCTGAGAGTCTTGATGTTGTATAATTGTGGCCCTCCTGGCTTGGCCCTGTTGTCCCCATTGTCCTTACCCAGCCAGTGTGGCAGCAGAGCTGTTGGCCTGGCCCCAGCACTCCTGGCCATTCTTTCCTTGCACGGTTGAGCTCAGCTGATTGCCTGGAGAACAATCACTTGGATTCTGAGCTTTTTCCATTATCTTTTGCAGTTATTGTTGTTTTTAACAGAAGTTTTTTCCTTGCACATTTACCCCCTTTATATTTTCTGAGAGTGAAAATGCAAAGGGAGCTCAGCTGACGCTTTCCCCAGGGAGGAGTTTTGAGCTGTTTTGTCTGCACAGTGCAATTCCAAAGGGATTACACACACAGAGAGGGTCATCCCAGGGCTGGAGGTTATCCATGGATGTAGATATGGCCCAGGGGTTCTTGCATCTGGCCTGGAGTGCAGCCCTGAGCTGGGAGCCTCAGGCAGCTGTCCCTGCCCTCAGAGGTGCCATGGGCTGAGCCTGGGGCACAAGGATGGAGGTGAGGACTGACAGTGTCCCTGACACGTCACCATTCCAGATGAGCAGCTCCTGGCCCCTGTCACAGATCAGCAGCACAGAGATAATTCTGTGGGACTAGAACTCCTGCTGTTCTCCTTTGACTTGCTGGATTCCTAGATAGATTGGTGGGGTTTTTTATAGTTTTTCCTGCCTGAAGTAGAGTGTCTTTTTTCAGAATATAAAAAAAGTAATTTTGCTTTCTTTGATACCTAACTATGAGATCTTCTGCTGGTTTCTATATCCAGGGAATATGGTAATTATAGAGTTGCTGGTTTGCCTTTGCATTAAATATATTTGTTAACAGGACTAAAATAAAAGCTGGCAAAACTACATTTTGACTGTATGGTATTCTTATTTTTTACATTTTTTAGGTGAAAGAAGGAAATTGTTGGTGGCTGGGCCACAGGAAAAATGGCTTATTTAATTACATTTATTTGAGAAGCTTCCAAAGAGCTCACAGTGGGTCTCAGATCCACAGATCCCAGGACATCCTCATGCCAGCCCTCCCACGCTGCCAAATAGCTGGAGATAGTTTTCCCAACAGCTGCACACTGACCCCACTCTCCCAGGCCAGGGAGAAGAGCAGGGTGCCCCTGGCACAGGGTGGAAGGAAGGCACAGGCACAGGTGGAGCTGTGCCACCACCCCCTGCCTCCAGGAGCTGATTGCTGCAGGATTCGGTGAGGCAGGGAAGGAATCCCTGGCAGGGAGAAGCTCAGGAAAGGCCAGGCTGTGTGGGGTGGGCACAGCCATCTCCAGAGACACCTGGGTGCTTTGTGCCTGCTGCCCTGTGCCATCGTTCCCACACAGCACCTGCACAGGGTGCAGAGCTGCAGAAGCCATGGCAAAGCCATTCCTGCACTTCCAACGGAGGCGTTCGCTGAAGGCTTGACAGCAATAGTAAAATAACACAGACAAGGAGATGTGAGACATGCTGGAAACGTGGGATAATCACCAAAAATGGACATTTAGGTTACTTAGGAATCAGCCTCTGGTTCAGGGCAGGGAGAAGGGGGATTTCATAGACTGGAAGTCGAAACTTTTAACCAAACCTTAGAAATGCTATTTGACTGGGCCATTTACACAAAGATGTATGACAGGGATTAGCCTGCTGCTCAGGAAAAAGCAGTGCCTTGGAAATTCACAGCAATGATGTGGAGTGAGACTGAGTACAATCATTTTCTGGTTTTCTGTTCAGTTACCCTAAAAGTAGTTCATCTTTCTTCCTTATAAAAACAGTTTATTGCTAGTTACTCAAAGATGACGTGATTGTTGTTCTGATCTGATTAGTGCTCTGTCATTTGTGCTGCACCAAGAAAGGGCACACATTATACACAGCAGCAGCAGCAGCAAAATGACTTTCTGAGATGAAGAAAAAATCATAATAACTGTTATCAAAGGAAAATTGGAAAAAGTCAAACACTATTTTTAGCTTTTTATACAAGTGGACATTCAATAAATGCAGCTTTAATGGATTCTGTTCACTGGCTTTTTCACCTAGTTCAGGATTTGATGGAAGCATTCAAAAATCTTGGAATTTCACAGTTTTATCTTCCTATCTTGCAACAAAAAGCTAACTTCTGTTTTTTACTTTGTTATTATTAATAGCCTGGCTGGCTAATAAGATTAAACATTCTAAATGGCAAAATACTTACATTTCTATTGGGAAGCTCCAAATAAATCAAAAATTTAGGTAAATTTGGGGCAGCAGCACTTACCAAATTTGTCCCAGCTGGAACACCAATCTGAGCAGTCACATGAGCAGCAGCTCACTTTCCAAAGGCTTCTCCTTATCCCTATCCAGAAGTGGATGAGGAGGCATCCCAGCTATAAAGCTACTGTAATATTCTGCAGCTTTGGGGGATTTAGTGATGTTGATTTCAGCTGTCCTTGGAGCTACAGCAAGATCCACATGGACCTGAGAGATGAAATAGTTCCAGACATCAGAAACAGGCATGAGAGAGCAGCACATCCACTGTTTTGTGGGAGCAGCCATTTACCATCTGGGTATCAGATAATTTGGTTTATATTATAGGTACCATCTTACTTCCATGTGAACTATAATAACTAAAATGGATGTTATAAAACTTCCTTTGCTACCCAAATCTAGGACTGCTTATTTTCACCTCTTTACTCTCATGGAGATTACTACTGAGGATGTCACGTGCATACAGGTGCCCACAGCCATGAAGGTTATTGTGTTTTAAATATTTCAGTTTCCAGAGCTTTCTTTTCCCTGCAGTGTGATGCTGCTCTCAGTTACAGAACAGGCTGCAGCAGAGGTGTCAGCAGTGCCTGGAGATGGCCATGGATGATGTACTACCTATGGAATCAACATGGGATCTTGTTCAGGAGCTGGAGGTGGATCAGTGTTCGGTGTCAGGCCAGAGGCTGCTGGTGCTCACTCCCTGGGGACTGTCCCCAGAGAGCCATGGATGCAGAGCCCATGGATCCCCCCTCTGGCAGTGCTTGGCCAGCCTGGAGCCAGCTCCCCCAGGAAGGCAGATGGTGCCTGACTGAAGAAGGGGACCGGAGTGCTGTCACCTGAAGTGTCCCCTTGGGGTCAGGCTGTGACACAGCGGGGCGTGGGACACTCCTCCATCACCCTGGCTGGGACAAGGGCAGCTCTGGCTTCTTCTCTCTGGTCCTGTTTGCTCAGAGCCCATGCAAAAGGCAAATCCCAGTGCCCGGTGTTATCACTCCCGGCAGGAGGTTCCTGCCCAGGTTAACCCTTCAGCTGCCTTGCTGCAGTGCACTGTATGGGACTGACATCCCACGGCCGTGCCAGCGTCCCAGTAAGGAAGTGTTACACGAATCAACAACTTTATCACAAGGTCCCACCTGTCTGGCAACACCCACGTGGGGAGTTGTTTTCTAACAATCAGAATCTGACCTATTTCCAGCTTGTTTAAAGCGTTCTTTAAATTCTCTCTGAATTTAAAGAGGGCTCTCCAAGCTCCCGAGGCAATCCCTGTTATTCCAAGGGCAGTGGGTGAAAAGGGCATTTTTCACATTGATTTCCCTGATTCCTGTGGTGGTGTCACCCTGGGTGAGCAGCTCTGGGGACTTGGAGAGGGAGCAAACATGTCCCAAATAATCAGCAGGAACTGGGAGACAAACCTGACTTTCACAAGCCCTGACTTCAGTGGGAGTTTTGCCAAAACAAGGTCTGCTGGATTTAGCTCCGTTCTTCATCCTGACAGAACAAGCAGGAATTAAAGGGCCCATCATCAGATTTATAGCACACTGAAAATAAAAATAACAGTAATTATCTAAAATAACGCCTTTCAGCCAACACAAATCAATGTTCCATTGGACATGTTCTAATTTATAACAAAAATTAAATGTTTGTGGAAGATTTTCTCAGCACAAACAATCGAAAGAACAAGTCTTGAGCAAAGTGGTTTGATTTTTTGTAGACATTTATGAGAGGCTGTTGCACAAATCCAGTGCTGAAATATTGAGTGTTTATCATTTGATTAAAACTGTATTTTTTACTTTGTATTTAAAGGCGTTCTTTATATTTGTTATTAAAATGTGTATTTTTGCCTCTTTTTTTGCCATTCCATTCTGCATAGTAATGAAAAAACTCAATTTTTGCTAATTAGGATACACATATCCAGCATTTGTTGAAAGCCAGGAGCTGGGTTTTTTTTCCTGCAAATGGATCTACTTAAGCCAATCTCTATTTTCTTGCTTCAGTTCAGTCTCTTAATACACAGTAAGATGTCATTTTTAAGCTTCTAAATTTTATTGCAACTGCTCAAGTTCTAAACCCACTCATTTATACAATAAGCACTTAATTAAGTCTCCTTTTGAAATAGGATAAAGCTCAAACATGCACTTTTTGCTAACAGCAGGAAAAATGCAGTTGACAGGAACATAGGAAATGGGATCTTACCAGCAATCAAAGAAAAATTCCTTTCTCTCTCCTTACTTATTTTTCCTGGAATGGAATAGGAAATATGCTTTGCTCTTTGGGAGCAACAACAACAAAACCATAAAGATTTACATCATATACAAATAATGACCAAGTAAGGGAAATAATGAAGGAACCAATCTCCCAATTTCTTTATACATTTTACAACTGGTTCATACTGAAAAAACCCTAAAACCCATTAAGATTCTCTGCAATTAAAATTGTGGGGGGGGGTGTTAATATTTGGGTTTTTGAAACTGGATTATTCTTTTTTAAACAGCAGTTAAAACTGTAAGGTTATAAAGAATTAATAATTCAGCAGTTCACTTGGTTTACACTACCACAGCATTTTCTGGTGAGTAAACCAGGATTTAGGCATTTCTTTGCAGTTATTATACAAGTTTTAGAGCCATTAGTGAAGAATTACCAAGAGCAAAAAGGGCTGATTAATTACTTTGGAATTCTAAAAATGGAAACATTTAAAATTAAAATCACATTAAAATGGTACATTTTGCTTATCAACTGCTATTTAAATGATGCAGTGCCCTAAAGCAGCTTTCTGTGGACTGCAGCATTAAAACCTTGGAGGTTTTATAAAGTATTTATAAAACACTGTCCCCATCTCCCTCGTTGTGTGCTTGGAGCCTGCCGTGTTTTTATAGCACGTCAAAAAGCAAACAGAACTATCAGAGCACTGAAAGTCACTCACAGACAACCTGTTCCACAAATATTTTACACTGATGTTACATCTTCTGGCCCAAAGGGTTTCTCTCCTTGGTTTTCCCTTCACGTGGGCTCAGGGGGCAGAGAGGGAGGCAGTTCGTGTTCCTGGGGCAGTGAGGGAAATTGGGCAGTGCCAGGAACTGGGCAGTGCCAGGAACTGGGCAGTGCCAGCACCATCCTGACATTAAATCTCCCCCAGAAATCATCTCCCACAGCTCCTAAGCAGGCTCCAGCAGCGAGGTGCAGCGTGGCTCGCTCACAGTGGGCTCTTGTTGTTGTGTTACTGCTCCTTTTGTGGTTTTTATTTACTGTGCTGCACTTCAGTGTTTCTGTGGGAAATGCACCACTTTAAACTCTCATACCATGAAGGTTCTTTTGTGCTTCTTGGTTTAATTGAAGGGTGATCATAAAACACAGAGGGAAAGAGGGAACTCATATACTGGGAGAAGCACTATAAATATTTTCCCGAGGTCATGGGCACAACCTTGTATCACTTCACCCAGTGTTGTGGAAAGAATTAGACAACCCTTTCATGAAATATCTAAAAGGTGTTTACAATTCAATCCCAAATTAATGTGGCTTTTTCTTTAAAGAAAACATTCCCTAATTCTTAATTCTGTTATCAAATTTATTTTCAGCCTTTGAGGGGATTCACTTGCCGGTGACTTGGCAGTGTCAGACAAATGTTTGACTTTTATTCTGACACTTGTTGAAGAATTTGATTGAAACTATATATGTCTAGATAACACCCAACAAAGTGCCCCTCTTGCGTTTGTTTCGAGATATTTTTGGAAACAACAGAGGCGACCTTGGACAGAGCTGCTTTTCCAATTTAGGAATTCATTTGGTCTAAGAGAGTAAAATTATACTCTTTAATCCTTTCGTGTACCCACAAACAAGACAGTTTAATTTTATGCTACTGCAGAATTGTTTTTCTGTACCTTCTTGGTGGTGTTGATCTGTTTAGGATAAGAATTAGTTCGGGTAATCAACAGCTACTTTCAAATGTACATATAAATAGTTTTTGATGTATCACATGCCCCTTAAAAATATTGTGTAATCCAAAATCTCAGCAGCCATTTATGTAACACCTTTGCTCCTCTAGAACCAGTGCCAATAAAAGGTGTTTGCCTTTGTCTTTGCTTAGAAAAATGTGATTTCAAGGCAGAGCTCACAGAGACTTGATGTAAAATCTAAATGGGGAGTGGAAGGGGCTGGGATGGAGCTGACACCTGTCCCCTCCAGCACAAAGGGTGTTTGTCAGCCTCCCAGTGGAAAAGCCAAGGTCTGGAGCCAGGTCCTCTCTCCCTGAATTGTTCTCTCCTGACTTGGTTTTGCCAGCTGTGCAATTGTCTCTGCAAGGTTTTATTGCATCTAATCACTTAGGATGTGTTAAATAGTTTGCACTTAATTTTCTATACAATCAATATATTTTAATTCATTTGTATTGCTCTGCTACAGACCTCCTGCACTCAGGGACAAAATGGGATTAGTTTGTGGCAATGATAATGCAGTTTCCCTGCTGGAAACAAAAGGAGAACTGACAGAGTAAATGTTCTTGTCATTTATCCTGTACAAGATTTGCTCCCTTCAATATTAATGTTGTCCAGTGTTACCTAATGATCAAATCCAAGGAATAACATGGAAACTAAATCTAGACATACCAGTGGGATTTATCTGGGATAAGTGGCATATGCTTGGGAGTATATTGTTTATATTAATTTGATCACACTCCGTGTCAATGCACACTTTTATAGCTCTGTTACACTCTGACTCTGACTGATGGCTCAAGTTCTAACTCCAGAATATCCAGTTCCCTGATTTTATGGCATTGTCATGTAAAGTATTTGTGGACAGCTTAAGAGAAGCGACTCTGATCCTGTGAATCCATGTGACTACATTGGCAATCCACAAATCACATTAAAATGAACTATTTGGTGCAGAAACTCCATCACAGAATCTCAAATTAATTGACAAACAACTCCTATTAAATTCTGTTGGCCATGTAGCCAGATCAACAAGTTGCTGCATTAATGTTATTTTCTGGATGAACAAACCCCACTGTGGAACTGAAGAGAAGCAAAGCAGGAATCCAGTCCCTGTCTCTGGGCTGTGGTCTCAGGGCATGCCCAGGATTCCCAACCTGATGTCCCTGTGAAACCTCCTGAGGCTGATCCTGAATATTGTTGTTCAGGCCCCCAAGCCCCCATCCAGCCCAGGGATGGATTGCTGGAACACAAAGGAATGACATCTCAAACGTCACCGAATTTCCCAGCGCGCGAGTCAGTGTCCTCACTTGGAGTATCCTCAGCTGACCCTGCCACTGCCTGAAAAGCAATTCAGGAATGAAATCTCTGGACATTTGAGATGTGAGAATTCATTGAAAAGTGTAATGGAAAGGTCAGAACACATAAAAAATAAACAAATATGATACAGACAGAGATAAAGGCAATTCCTGAAGGAGCTTTTAATTATATTGCAATGAGAAACTTCAAACATAAAAATCATCACAACTGCTTCATGGAGCTAATGGAGTCAACAAAATGAAATGTGAGATTTTTCTCCTACCCTGAGGTTTTTTCATATTGCCAGAGAGATAAGATCAGGAGAAGCCCTGTGTGCATGTGTGCACACAAGGTTGGGTCTCACTTAGAAACCAGAATACAACATGGAATTTGTGGGCTTGTTCTTTGTACATTTCAGTTTTTAGCAAGTATCTACTTTGTCCTGTAGCTGAAATATTAATTATATAACCTGACACTGAAATAACTGGGAATTCTATTTTTCCTTAGAGGAAATGAAGCTATTTTTAATATTGCATTATATTATTGGAATATTGTTCAATGTTGTCTTGAAAAATTGTAAAGATGCATGAATGTGAAGGAGCTGCCAGAGAAAAACTGGCTGGCTTGGAGCATGGTAAGGGATGGGAGAGTTTGGGTTTCTGGTTTATTGCCCCAGGCAGCTCTGGACAAAGCTGCTGCTTCTGCTTGTCTGTCTCCTCCTCACTGTGCTGGAATTGGTTGGAATAGCCCTCAAATAGAAGAGCAGCAGATTTATCACTAAGCACTAAATCTTACTTTTACATATGAGAACAACTCCAGGGTAACCTGAGTTAATGAATAACTCAGTCAATGGTGAAAGTTCCTATTTAGTCTGATAGATTTGGCCTTAAACAAAAACTTTCATTGATACAAGCATATACAACAGGGGAATAAAAACATTTTCCCCCATGAGAAATTCAGTGTTGAGAGAAAGAAAGATAATTAAATATTCATATCATTTCATGAAAAAAAGGTAATGTTTAAAAAACCACCACAACTTTAGAATAGATAGTCAAAATTTTCATGAGAAAATTTAGACTTTTGTGGGGGGGGGGGGAAATACCAAACCCAGGTTCTTTAGTCAATCAAAAAAATTAAAAGAAATTCAAAATGCTTTGATGTAGATGTTCTCCTTATACCATGTACAGTCTGTTGCTGAGTAGCTCATTTGGAATCAGATGAACTCCTTATCACAGGCTCAGCAATGTTTCCAGTATTATATCCCACAAGGAGAGACATGAATACTGGAGTTCCATAATAAAGGAAATTTCTTTGCTACAGCAGCTGCATCAGAGCCAATTTCACCTGCAAACACACAGTGCTAATGCAATTTATCTTTATTTGAAACAATCCATATGGGTACATCCAGTTTTTATAAAAGGGCATTCAACAGAGAGGTTTGCAATGTTGTGGCTTCCCTGGTGCATAAATATTGAATCCCCAAACACAACATTAGCTAATTAAGTTGGGGGTGATTATTGGCTGGAGGAAATGAACACATTAAGTGAGCATGGGTTAGGCCTGCCCTCTCACTGCACACACTGTGGTTGCTCCCTGAGTGCAAGGAGGATGTGGGTTTCCAGGAGATTAACCCCAGCAGTAATTCACACCTGGAATCTAAAAGGAAGCCAAAATAAAAATTGGATGGAGCTTCCAAAGTTGCAGGGTGCTGCATAGACTGTGTGGAACTTCAGCCAAAGCTTCCTCAAAACAAGAATCCCTCCAGAAAAATGGTGGTGAGAACTCTGCTTTCAGCTGAAGTTGTTCCTTGGCACACACCAACACATTCCACGGAACAGTCAGGAAGAGCCAAGAGAAGAGGTGGGACTGCCCTGCTCTGTGGCACCTCAGTCTAAACCAGCCTGGAATTATGGTGACATTGTTTTTTTCAGTGGTGCTGGCACAACTCTCTGGGACTGCATGGTCAGGCTTATCACAATCTCTTGGTGAAAGATGATTATTAACTCAGT